TTAATCACATGTTTCTTAATAGACAGGTACTACAGAATAATAATAATGAGAGTGAAAATGAATGCTCTATTTTATATTGGCAACCTAATCAGGCACCATTATTTATAATGTACTCTTCATTCTACCGAGTATTTATTTCACATGGTGATGATGACAATGATGAGATTGAAGATAAGGATAATGACTATGTTGGTGATGGTGGTTATGAAATGATAATGGTGGTAATAATATGGTGATGGTAGTTGTGAATATGATGATACTGATGATGATGATATGATGATGGTTATAAAGAAATTATGAAGATGATTATGATGATGATGAAGATGATTGTGGTGGTAATGAGGCTGGTGGTGATAAGTATGTACATTATTGTGCAAAGCTTTTCCCAACAGTATTTATTGCACAGGCCCGAAGCATCAAATTCATTATATAACATAGTTTATATACCGTAAAACCTCAAATTGAAGCCCAGTGGGCGTAATCTTGAGATGAAGCCCATCTCGAATTGAAGCCCCTCTCTTTAGTTTGCAAAATTAGCTTCGAAATGAAGCCCATCTCGAAAAGAAACTCATAGGCGGTTTTTCATGATAGCATAGGTAGTCTTCTTTTCGAGAAACTAGTACAGTACACTGTGCATAAATTTCTAAAAACAAAATAAATTAAAAACAAGCTTGGTTTGTGCATTAGTTTAGGTGATTTAATGCCAATCAAATCCACTCCATGATACAGATTAATGTTACATTGACCTTATTTATTGTTTAATTGTACAAATTCACAAAATTTACAGCATTCATTTTGAAAAGAAGCCCCCCTCTTTACTTTACAAAATAGTCTCGATAAGAAGCCCATCTCGAAAAGTAGCCCATCTCGAAAAGAAGCTCATCCAAAGTTCGCAAGAAAAAGAAGCCCAGGGCTTCAATTCGAGGTTTTATGGTAACTTACAATATATTTTTAATGTATACTGTATATTTTTTAAGACATACATTCATTCTACATTCTTTCTTATTCCTTGTTGGCAGGTGATTAGTATTTACATGGGCATCACTGTCAACTTAATGGATGCATGGTCGCCATATAAAGCTGCTTATACTGCCCTAACTAACACTGTAGACACTAACAATGTAAAGGAGCTGGTTAGTACACACTTATTTCTTACACAATTTTATTTTCAGTTTTAACATTGTTAAGAGCCAGATTGTTCTGATAGTGCTTAAATAGATATCACATTAATATCTATAGGACTTCGCAGCCTTAAAAAGGCATGTGATGTTCTTAAGAAATATTAAAAATATCACTACGAACTACGTAGTGCCAGAGTCTTGGCCTTTCGCAAAAGTGGCTATTTTTTTTTTCTTTTTCCTCAAAAGATATGAGTTGCTTAAAGTTGATGGAAAGTTTCAGGATTTATAAACCTATTTGGGATAAATAAACTTTTCCTAAACTCTAGAATATATTTAGATAAATGAAATTAGATTTTGTTGAATTGTGAAGCAAGATTAATGATATCTACCTAAATTTGAGTGTACTTACCGTATCTAATTTTGGTTGCTATTAGAGTGTGCGGTATGATCAACGCCTCCAGAAACTACGCAAGGTTGCCAGGCACTACCTAACAGAAGGTTCGTTAACTGAAGAATACGTGCTTGATAACATCCCGAAACTGATGAACTGTCTGCGGGAATGTAACGTGACTATTCGATGGTTGATGCTACACACAGCAGAGGGTGGTATGCATCATTGCTTTTTTTCTATTTTTATTGCCTCCGTCAAGTATGTTATGTATTAACTGCTGTCTGTGTCTCTGTTAGCAAGATTATGCAAAAACTAACAAATGGACCATCATAAATTTTAGTAGAATGGTACGTAATAATCGAAGAAAAACACCATTTTTTTTTACATTCGAGGGTAAAAGAAAATGGAATTACCCCTCGTATTCAGGCAGCACCCAAGAAAAAAAATGTCCTCAATACAACATTATTTTCTTGAGGGTATGTTGCTGTACTCAAGAAAATAATGTACTTGAATACAACGGGCGATTCCATTATTTTCTTGAGGGTATGTTGCAGTTTTGCCCATCATACACTGCCTTCTTTTTATTGGTATTCAGGCACAGGGCAGAGGTATGAACTTTATGGAGCAACTGCTCTAGTTGAGTAATTTTTTTTTTTTTTTTTGGCAAACCCCACCCCTTGGATATTGTGGCTTGTGGTTCTACAGATCATTAGTTTGTTTTGCAATATCGTTTGCAATTAAGCTGAATCTTCATTAATGATGATGAATAATATTATAAATAATGAATTGGAATTCAAAAACTTGGAAACTGAATACATGACCTATTTCATTTCATTTTCATTTTATTTCACTTGTAATTTGCAACTTAACTACTACAAGTGCCGAGGACCAAGGAGGCCGTA